AATGTAATGTAGAGTAAGGTAAGGTAATGTAATGCAATGTAATGCAGTGTAGTGTACTGTAGTGTAGTGTAATGTAATGTAATGTAATTGTAATGTAATAATGCAATGTCATGAAGGTAATGTAATGTAATGTACTGTACTGTAATGTAATGTAATGTAATGAATGGAATGGAATGTAATGGAATGTAATGTTCGGTAATGTAACGTAATGTACGGAGCTTGTGACGTTCATCAAATCTCCAACAGATTTAATTGCAGAACAAGATGGGGTCTGCCAGGGAGAAAAAGACATCAAAAGACATCTGCCCTTGACAAGATGCTCTTCGACACACGTTCACCCGAAAGAACTGAACTTAGCGGAGAAGCATATCGGCACTCAATGTGCTCTTTGGATGTATATATTTGGAACATGTATGAGCAAACATCATCAGTCAAATGACACCCCAAATCCAGCTAGTTCGAGTGGCCGAAGCCTGCGCCAGTGGTGCAGACATCCACCAAACTTTTGCTTTGGAGACCACGAAAGCTAGCCTTGACAATGCTTGAGCGGGAGGTACACAGGGCGCATCTGAGGTGTACACTGGAACAGCACACCCCAAAGCACGCTTGATGACGGACCTTTTGTGTGCTACTGAATCGACAGCTTTCTCTTCAAGAAAGAATCATCATATTTGTGTATGATATATTCCTGATGGGAAATGTTTGAGCTCTTTCTCATTGCTTTACAACGGCGGTGGTGGGAGCGCATTGCTGAAATCCGGGCGCCGGCCACTGTGCCCGTGTTCCAGCCGGAGAAGGTAACTAACGAGCGCGCCCCCTTGCCGCTGGATTTGCGGTCGACGTCCGCCCGACCTCCCCCCCCAGTCACCCTGACAGCGTAGGCCACCGAGGCAGAGTCAACGCACGCAACATGTGGCAACATGGATATGGGGATGGATGTGAGGTTGTTTTGGAAGGCCCGTGGTGCGAGATATGCTGCCCGAGTGGCCTTGCAATATTAGCATGTTGTTCTTTTACTGGGTCTCTGGGTGTATTTCTTCCACCGGAGGAGAAAGAGCACGGACTGGACATGTCCGAATGTTCGAACGTTTTACAGAGCTTTTGGGGTCGCGGAGAGATGCGTCTGGATTGAACCTGTGCGAAAACTATGTGTTTTACTGTGTCTGTGGGGTTGCGAAGAGACGCGTCTGGAGTGAACGTGTGCGAAAGCCATATGTTTTACCGTGTTTTCGGGTCCGGGCGCCGGCCACGCGCCCCGTGTCCTAGCCGGAGGCCTTCGGTTGGTAACCGAACATAGCCCCAAGGTGGCCCAACATAGCCCAGAGCACTTCCCCTCTTTGGCCGGCTGCCAGGCGTAAGCCTTTATTAACTACATGTTTTGGTGTTCGTATGAAAGGACTGCACCAATTCTATTGGATGCTATGCTCATTCAGTTTTTTTGGGACAACATGCGAAGTTGCTTTCATTTGGGGATAGTGCACCGCCGGACAGTCTCCAGATCAAGTGCCAACTGCGTTCTTAATGCTCAGGTCTCCTGTTTGAAGCATATATTGCGTTTTGCTTGTTTGCAGTTGGGCGCTCAGTTTGTGCTCCCGAAGTTGCATTGATGTAGCGGTGAATTTACCAGGTCTTGAATGTGATGACTGGCGCCGAACACTTAGCCTTCCATGGAATGTGACAATTTTGCACAAGAGTTCTTGACCAAAATATAAAACGGGCAGTTTGCTTCAACTCCTAACTTGAACTGTTGGACCTTGGCTTCACGTTGAGGGTTAGCAGTGTTGTTCCTGCTGACATTGCTATATTGGATGGGCACGGTGTGATGTGTGGATGTGCACCCTCGGTTGGACACCCTTCAGAGGTGGATCTTGCAGGGCATTCACATCGGCTTTGGTATGGGCTTGGTTTAGGGCTTGACTTCTTTAGGGTGTGTTTGGGCTTGGCTTATAACTTGCGGGTTTCTTTGGGCTTGGCTTTGGGCTGGACTTCTTTAGTGTTTGTTTGGGCTTTGTTTTAAGGCTTGACTTCTTTAGGGTTTGTTTGGGGAATAGAGCTGGGCTACTTAAGGGTTTTTTGGGTTTGCTTTAGGGCTTAACTTCTTTAGGGTTTGTTTAGTCTTGGTTTGGGGCTTGGCTGAATGTGTTTGAAGTGTTGGTGATTGCTCACCGAATTGGCGTGGGTGTCAATCGGTTTCCATGTAGTGGGGATGGTGGGTGTTGGACACGGAATGGGGCGGACTACTCAAGGATTTGGTCGGGCTTGGTTTTGGGCTTGAATCTTTAGGGTTTCTTTGGGCTTTGTTTCGGGCAAGTCTTCTTAATGGGGCTTGTTTGGGGGAAACAAATATGGGGGATCCTTTGCGGAGGGCGTGGGTATTGACTCAGATGAAAGAGTGGGCAACCAGGGTTTGCAGGTATGAAGTCATCAGACAGAGTTGTCATAAGAAGAACGGGGTGCAACAATCACAAGAAAGGGATGGAAACAGACTGTGTTGATAACGCACCTCCCATCATTAAAGCTGCCAGAATGCATTCTGCCAAGTAAGCCACTTGCTGGACACACCGCAAGTATTCATAAATCATCCGAAGCAAACTCGCACGCTTTGAGGCTTCGGACTGTGCGGTTCTCTTTAGGCCAGGGTGAAATCAATTGCTGCATAGAGCACTTAGAACCCAAGCATCCAAACTTTTGCCGGATCACACCGGAAGAAACCAAAGGCCATGGTTGTAACGCAGCGGCCACGCTTTCCGCGTCCTACTCCAGAACCATGTCCTCCGAAAAGGGTACTCCTTTTTATTAATATACTGTATATATATATATATATTAGGAACTCTTTTTGACAACTCTGTTGCCTCAGTCAATACCCACGTCCTCTGAAAAGGGTTCATTTTTTCAAACAGATACGGACTCATTTTGGGCAGTCCGCTTGCTTGTGTCCATCCTGCTTCTGATTGCTTCAAGCGTTCAACTCTGCTTGTTTCCATTCTACGTTCCCAGACTCCTTTCCATTGGACGTCCAGGTTTCCTCACTCACTTCCGTGTCACAGTTTCAAACTGTTCAATTCTTCCATGGACCCGTTTCTTCCCTGCTTTCCCGTCTAGGTTTCCTGACTCACTCGCCTGAAGGTTTCCTGGCTCTGCCCCTGACTCATAGTTTCAAACTTTCCAATTTTCCATGGGCTTCATGTTTTCGGTTTCCTGACTCCGTCGTAGCTTTCCCGCTAAATTTTCCTGACTCTGTCATCATCCAACTGGCCCACCATAGCCCCCAAGACAGCCCAACATAGCCCCAAGGCTCCAAGACAGCTCCAAAAAAAGTCGACCAGTGCCACCACACCACACTATCTGGGACATGCCCGGAAGTTGTTCGCGGCCACAGTCCGTGATTGGCTCGTTCCCTGTGCGTTGGTTTGCGAGCTTCGCTCGTGGCTCTCGTTCGCTTGCCGCTGTGCTGAGTTGTCGCGCTTGACTGGTTTGTTTACCCTGCTGGGTTCCATTGGGCCTGTTGCGGTGCTTGGCCACTGTGCGGTGTTGGCGTGGGGGGGGTGCATTTTGATGTCCTCTCCTTTCCGTGATCCGAATAGGGTTGTTGCGCGTCTTCGAAGTCTACGCGCAATCTGCATTCCGCCCGCCTAAGGTGTTTTGCCACTCAGCCATTGAAAGTCCTGTGCTCAGTTGTTGCCCTTGAAACGTTCGTTAGAGCAGTAGACTTTGACGCTGTGTGACAGGCTACTGTATATAACTTCAAGTGTGTCCACCAGAGCAATAGACCTGCCTTCAGTTTAGGATACGACACTTGACTTGGCAACGCAAATCTGTGCCCCTGGTGTGGAAAAGATCCACTGAGTCCGCAGGGATTCAGAGGATGAGTCAAAACTATCAAGGAAAATCCACTGAATCCCAAGGGATTCAGAAAGCAAGGCAAGGGCCTTCAACGTCTTAATCGAAAACTAAACATCAGATCCACTGAATCCGTATGGATTCAGAGGAGGACAAGTCCATATACTTAAACTTGTTGTCAAACTTTCACAAAGCCTCAAAGAAGTGAAATTGAAAGAGGTTTTGCCGTTCTCAGGTGCAGACAAAGATCATGAGCTGAACTTGCAGATGTTGGCCGTGGAGAGGCAAAAATATTTCAGGGCTGTGAAGCGGCTTTTTGCCAGGCGGTTTGACTGCATGCAGATACAGTGTCACTTTACCACATCAGGGCAGTACTTATATTCCATCTCAGGCTTGATCAAGATTCAGATGGTGGAATCACTGCAGAAGAGTTTGAGGCGGGAGCTTTACAAACTTGCCGAGCAAAGGAATGGGTTGGTTTCCCAGAGTACTCCATGACTCCATGTTCAGGGCAGTTCAACACGTACAGGGCAACCCTCCCTCCAGTGACCTTCAGGTTGCACTACAAGATGCAGCCTTGATCAATGTGTTTGACGCCTTGGAGATTTCTGTTGCGGATGCGTGGAACTTGTTCAGGACCTTAGATAGCGCACCTTGACAAAACGGAGCAGGGTGGGGTGCTATTCAGAGAGCCTGGAGCTCTTACGCATGTGTGTGTGTGTGCCCCTTGTAGTCACAGGGATCCATTTGGATTGTGCTCTTATTTTTTTTCCTTTGTTCAGCAGGGGGGGTGCCAGGGACCGTGCAAGTCTGGCACTAACAAAGACGCTTGCACTGGTCTGTGAAATCAATCCGGGACGCCGGATTGACGTACCTGCTGGGAGAGAAACCTGTCTTTCCCAAGCTTCATGTCCTGTCATCTCACTCCGTTCTTTCTCTTCCGTCCACATTGGCCCAGCCCTTAGCTTGTACACGCACATCTACTTCAACCCAGGTCTCAGGTCGCCAGGTCTTGACAATGAGGTGGGGGGTCATTGTTTGTTTCTAGTCATTTGGTTTTCCTTCATCACAACCACATACATCTTTGTCCCGTCGTGTCCCCTTCTCATGTCTTCACCTTCTTGTCCCTTTGTGCGCACACATGCACACCGACCTTGCCTCCCTCGTGGGAGGCGTGTGTGTGAAGCCCTTCAAGTCACAGGGATTCGATTGAATTGGTTCTTGTTTACTGGTTTCCTGATTTTATTGCAGCGGGGGGCAACCTCGTGAGCATAGCTGGTTGCCCAACGAAGAGGGCTATGCCACGACTGATGTTGAGTCTGATCAACTCCACGTACCTGCTCCTTTTTGAACTGTTGACCAAGCCGTGATTCCACTCTCCAGTAAAGGGCTAATGAGCTCTGCAGACATGAGCGCACGTCGTCTTTTCCTTCCAGGCTTCTTTGTACTTGTACTCTTAGTTATATGGTCACTTATGCTGGCGTGTGGCAAGCCGCAATCGAGTCAGTGCGCACTATCTTGAGTGTGTGTGTGTGTGTGACGCTGCCACTGAGCATGCTTTTGGGTCCTTGGTACCTAACTCAAGTTGATGAATGAAGGCTGTTTAGAAAATCTTGACTTCAGCTTCCGACTTTCGATGTGCCCATGGTGCGGCTCACACCGCATTGTTGTTGCATAACTGTTGCTGGAAACATTTCGATCATTCCTTTTTCCAGCTTCTTTGGCGAGAGAAACTTCCGGCATGAACAGAACACCCACTCGCTTCCTGAAGCAGACCGACCGAAGTGTTAACTAAGTATCAGTCTGAATCTAAGCTGGTCTTCCAACGCTCAGAACATGAAGCAAAACTACATTAATCAATTCCCACAAATCAATCATGATGCCGGTTGTCTGAGGATGGAGACGCACATGTTGGTCCTCAAGAGTTTGTCGATGGCCGCTTTGCCTGATTTTTTTTTTGGTTTGCAGACAGGAACCATTCGCATTTTGCAACTTGAGGTCAATGTATAAGTATGGACAAACATGATCACAAGAACAACTGTGTGCACAAACAGCTCAGCATAGCTATCATAGCTGGGTTTACCTATATAGATTTGAATGTTTTGAATCAGAACAGCTATGAAAGGGTTTCCTGAATTCAATTCACAGTGATGCAGTGATCCAACCTGCCTTTAGATCAGTAAAGAAATGAGACACTCTGAAATCAAGACTTTATGTTCGTATCACCAATGTCTTTTCTTGTCAAACAAACGGGGGTCTCGAATACTCCGGGTGTTGAGGTTGCTTGCGCCTGAAGGGCCCTGCTAGATCAATAGATGTGCGCTGGCTCAGAACATCATATCCTGTTGTCCTTGGAGTTCAAAAACATATGTGTTTCGCTGCTGCACTGAAACCATAGCTAGCAGCTAGAGCTAGCGACTACTAGGTTGTTTGCATCAAGAGGGACCTCAACCTTCTGCACCAAAAGCTGGACACGCAGGCTGGAGCATAGGCGACCGCTGTTCATATTGAAGGCCCTTTCAAGATTTTCGAAAGCGCATCAACGGGATTGTTCGGCAAGATTGCGAGGTAGCGGCTTGGACGTCCACCTGCGCAAAAAACGACGCTCCGCATCTCTAAGAGATGCTGTGCAGTGGCCCAAGTGGGCTGAAGGGTCCACTTCACAGCTTGTTGAAGGTGACGTGATGACCCGGACTATCGCAGTTATACGAGATGGACTTACAGGTTATCCACACAAATTGACCAGGTGCAGTTTCGAATCGTTGTAAGATGCTGCACTTGGGTTGAGGTTTGTAGTTTCCCAAAGGGCGCAGATAGCAACTGCCTCAAACCTTAGGCAGGCAAAGAACTAATTAAGCTATGTACAGGCCACCACGAGGGCTCCATTTTGGCAAACTGCGCAAACAGATCGAGAACAGCCAATGGCAGCCAAAATGGCTTTCTATTGATATCACAAAGGAAAAGAACTATATATTTATATATACAGTATTTTTTGCGGTATCGAGCCTCCAAGTGCTGCAATGACTGTAGTGAAGTGTCATGCGTTTGGGCACTTCGTGAATGCAAGACCAAATCTTGTCCTCCAGGATAAATTAGTCTTGGACACAACCCTTGATACTACAAACAAGATCAAGTCTTGAACACTTCTTCAAGGCTTTTGAGTCTTGGACTGAACTACCGGCCCCTAGCGGCTTGAGCATAACTATAACGCTATCAAGTGCAATTCAGTTTGATTGAACTTTGGACCAAGGTCACTGGAGTTGGGAATCTGCGGACTGAGTATCCGAGATCATGGACTTGACGACAAATCACACACACACATACGAAGGCAGTAAGAATCGATCGAGAGGAGCTTGGCTGCACAATCATGTGTCACTAGAGTGTAGCAGTCGAAGCTTGCAACCATCAGCACTAAAGGAGCGTATACTTTGATAATATCTCGTTCTTCTATGCTTGAAGAAAGAGCCTTTCCTCTCCTGGGCTGCCGATAAAGTTTGAAGAAGCGCGGGGAGAGAATGCACATTTCACTTTCTCCTTGCCACCAAAAGATGAGTTGTTCCTATATAACTTCAAAGGACATAGACAATATTATGTATATGTCATATATGTGTGTATATATATATAGATGAGTATTGTTTGACAATTGTGTGGCAATCGTGGAATGCATTCCTTAAACTGCCCCATGCTGTGCCGTGAGCCACTGTGCTGAGTGTTTTGTGGCTGTTTTTTTTGGCGGCGCGTAACTCATGACTTCACTGGTGTACAGGCTTTTCACTTTGTGTGAAGCATGCTGGCTACTTTGATCAACATTTTGCAGATTTAGAACCCTTCGGCATGGTCGTTTTACAACGAAGTCACAAACAATAATGGGGAAGTTCTAAGAGAGCGGCTCCCTTCCATTCACTTCCACATTCTAAGTCCAAAATCGCTCCAGACTCCAGATGCAACTGAAGCAGCAAGACACCAGTGTATCCTGCAGCCCGCTCAACTCTGCAAGCAGAGTTTGTCTTGAGCTCAGGAATCTGGCCTGTGCAAAAGACCCGCAGGAGCTTTGTAGTCAGATTTCGAAGGGATGCAGTTGAAGCTTGAGCATAGAGAAGGACAGCACCAGCATGAGAAAGACAATTTCAAAACAATGAATTTTGGCATCATTCTGTTTATTTTTGGTTATGTTTTTTTCTTTTTTCCCCCAAGAAGGACATTACAATTCTCAGGACAACAAGCCGCCATTTACCCAAGTCCTTCGCGGTGCAAGACTTTTGTTCAAACATCGTGCTCACGAGTCACAATCCCTGCAGCTGCTCAGGCGTTCAGACTGGGAATGGTGGAGTTGTTTTGTATGAACAATTGCTAACAAGTTTGCTCGCAGACAATGTCATGGAGTCAGAGCTGTCAACAGATCAGCTTACAGCAAACACGTGCAAAAAAGCTCAGATGTAAGATCTCAGAGTTTGCCACACGGCAGATGTGAGATGCCTTGTCACGCCTTGCGCATTTGCAAATGAAAATTCTTTGGTCGTGCCACAAAGATGTGCTCAGGCCCTAGCCTTCAACTGGTGTTGGAGACGACATTTGTCTTCTGTTGTAATTCTATGTTGCGCTTGAAGAACACCCGGAATATGCATCAGAATACCTGGAATCCTGTCAGAGCCTTTCAAGCTACCACCAGTCAATTGGAACACGTCCATTACAATGTGTGCTTTTTTGGAATGACTGCTCGGCTCAATGAAAGTGTTATTTGGATGCGGTATTGCCAGTTGCAGAGATTAAGTGTTCTTTAAATTCATTCCCTTCTCCTAGGCGCTGCCAGGGACTTGAAGTTGTCCGTGATGTCGGATGGCCGTAAAGTACCAGTCGGCTACACAGGCCAAGTGCTGAGTGCTGTGACATTGGACATGAAGACATGTCTTTCCTCAAACATTTAAAAAATCGGCTCGAAACCACGGATTGCATTCTCATATGCCCAAATGTTTCTTTTGTGCTGATCGTGTCACGAAGCCCCGCTTTCAGTCGAATGTGTGTTTGAAGGCACAGGCCACAGAGTTGGCAACGTTCGAGCAGCGAGTTCACTTTTGTTTGTTTTATTAGCAGCAGGTGGGTCAACTAGAACAGAACTTCATTGAAACAGCTCAACAGGTTACGAGCCCAACGCAAATGGAATCCATGTCTTCATGACAACCTTCCATGCTCCGCCGTCGACGGGCCATGGACACCGAAGCCGATGGTCGATTGGCGCTTGGAGCCTGATCCTCGAAGAAAGGGCCTCCAAGAAAAGGGTGAGGGGGGAAGAAGGGAAGGATGAAGTGAAGCAAAGCCCATGCAGCCACTCTTTGTCAGCATTCTGCCCTGACATGTAATAGCAGGTCTCGTTCGTTCGGGGATGAGCCCTGTGGAATATACAGGGAGGATGAGTTGGCGATGTGTCAGGAAGATTGTGCTTTTCTGTGGGGACGAGTCTTTCTCTACGTGATGGCCGGCATGTCCAAAGAAGGAGAGAAAAGAAGGCCAACCCGCTGACCCAGTCGACCACCACAGGAAAGAAATCCAACAGCGAAAAAGAGGGGGATGGACCTGGACAGCGAGTGCAGTCTTTAAGTTTGGCACGTTGGGTGCCCGGCCTCTCGCTCATGGATCGTGTTCCTGATCTATACAAGAAAAGAAAGAGATCAAGGTGGTGTCTTGGGACCACACTTCCATTTCGCATGGACTGCTGAGTATGCCAAAAAACAAGTGCGAAGTCAAGACCTCATCGGCGCGAGGACATGGCAGGTTTATTCCCGGTTGTTGACGGTGGGGACATTGCGAAATACATCCTAGCAGGGACCTACACGTGGATTGGGTTCTGCCAAAATCACAACACAGAGAGAGAGAGAGATGAGCGAAGCTTGATTGAATTGCTGGAAGAGGGTGTCTTCAGAGGGGTGGATGTTCAAGAGGAGGGCAGAGATGGAGGCTGGTCAGCATGATGAAGACCAAGGTCTGACGAGAGATGAGGTTTGTGAAGGAGAAGGATGGGATTGTGGTCTACACGGACTCCAGCTTCCCGACCACTCCTGAAACACGATGGAGCTCTTGTGTTTTGGAAAGGCCTTCCCTTTCAACTGCAGAATCAGATGTGAGAGGTGAAGGTTTTCGAAACGTTCAAGATGATGAAGGGCCCTATACCAAGACCCTCTACGTGGATGATCTGGCTGCTATGGGTCTTGTGGTGATGGTTACTCAATTAAAATTGGCGAACATGCCATCTTCGACTCACAGTCATCAACTTGGACTGGAGCGTTCGGCACCTTCCAGGCGCAATCATGATTGCCGACCTTGGGACAAAGCTCAGCGTACGGAGGAGGTTCAATCAAAAGGGGGCAAGGAAGAAGAAAGGCAGGGAGGTTGGCCCAGGGGCGGTAGGGAAGAATGATGATCAGAAGGAGGAAGGCCCACCGTGAGGAAGCCAAGGATGGCCATTTTGTCGAAGCATTCTTCATGATCTTCTACCGTCCTGATCATCTTAGCTACCTTGTTCTATCGTCGCTAGTTGATGTGGCTCTGGCCTTCAAGGAAAGGGAAAATGGAAGGCGGCCAAAAGGAGTCTACGCGCCCCTGACGGAGAACAGCCCATCCAGTCCAGTTGGCTGCAAAACGCGGATCCGCTTGGCTCACTGCTGGTCTGACACCTGAAGAGCGTCAGCAGGCCGGACTATTGGAACCCCTGCTCACCTTGGGCTCCTTCAGTCGGACGATCGGAAGTCGGTCTTTTTAGAGACGGTCGTGATGAAATCTAGGAAATTCCCTCACCCCACTGAAAGGGATTATCAGACCTGAGGGCTGAGGAAAGCTGGGAACCATCGAGCCAGAAGCAGTCCCGAAGGCAGCCCTGCCAAACTTTCAACGTGTAGATGCCAAAAGCATGGATGGGGGTTTTCGTCGCGAATGGGTGCCGGCGCAGTACCATGTCTTCGGATGATGTCCGAGCCTTTCGACTTCCACCCTCACACGCATGCCAAATACCACCTGCTCATGGATGTGCTCTTGCAGAGACTCTCCAACTCCTATAGAGGGCTGTGAAGTGAGAAGGTTGGAAAAGGTGAGGAAGTGAAGAGAGAAAGAGAGGAGAGAAAGTGGGTCGAGGAATCACTTGGTTGGCTCTTGGCCATGTGGGAGGCTTCCAGCCTGGCACGCGCTCAAAGCCTGAAACCTTTCGACGTCAGACCTCGTCGGTCTGGGGATCATAACCGGAATGGCTGATGACTTGGGCTGGCGTGCGCGCGTGAGTTGAAAGTCTCAATGCGGTTGCTTGGGTTGATGCCATGGCTTAGCTAGCCTTTGTTGCAAAGTTGTGTGTCCTTGAAGGCACAGGCCACTGAGTTGGCTAGAGCCAAGGGCCCCGTGAAAAAAAAAAACTAAAAATTTGTTCTTGCCCGTTTTTTGGGGACCAGTTGTGTCAACTCAAAAAAGACTTCACGGAAACAGTTCAGCAATGGTCAAACCGAATAGACGCAGGCAACTGGATCCAGCTAATGTCTCTCCAGTTTCTCACGTCAGCTGTGAGATCAACTGAGTCTGCTTCGACGAACCGTCAGCGTTGTAGTGTTTTCCTCCTGCAAGCACACTATTACTTATCCAATTCCAACGATGCACTCGGAAACTTAAACTCGGTGCCAAGCCTCGCTGGCAACTGAAGGAAAGAGACTTGCACTCGTTGGACTCTGCTGAAAGTAGTTTGTGGATCTGTGAGCAGCAATGACCAAACATAGGCATGCTGAAGTAGGTTGTTGGCTGGGAGTCTTTTGCTTTTCTAATCTGAAACAAACAGTAGCATTCATTTGGACAGAGTGCTGGATGTTGGTTCATGGCAAACATGCGCGGAAAGTGCGTGTGGCTTGGACATGCTGCAGTGCAAGAGGCTCATTGATTTTTGATCGTCAGCTCTGTTGAATCACGGATTCAGTTTTGGGAGATTGGTTTTTGCAGGCCAGTCAATACCTTTCCACACTGAATCCTTCGCAGCTTGGCAGTTGCTGATGTTTTGATTCAAGAGGGGGTAAAACATCCTCTACAGTGTGAGTATCTGGAGATTCCATTTCACTTGCTGTCTCAGTGTGTGGTTGTGAAACCATGTCTGTTCTATTTTGATAGTTCCATCACATCCAGTGCTTTTGTTGTCGTTGCTGCTGCATAAACATCAGAGAATATATTGTTTGATTCCTCTATGATTTTTTACTTGTGAATGCGGCAGCTTTTATCTTGGTCCTCATTCTATCCGTGTTTTGTCAGTTCATCATGCGGCGGGAGGTTTTTGCAAATTTGCCTCGCACCTGCGCCAGCTGTGTGCCAGCAAATCAAGCATACACAGGTGCTTTGTTCTCTGCCTTCATTCATC